TGGCATGTGGTGCTGGGGGATTGAACCGCGGTCCCTGTGCTTTGCTAAGCTTGTTCTAAGTAGGTGCTTTAGACCACTGAGCCATCTCTCCAGCCCCTCTTTTTATTTTTTAAGACAGTGTTTTATTATATTGCTAAGTTGCCCAGGTTGGGCTCAAACGTGTGATCATCCTGCCTCAGCCTCCCAGAGTGTTGGGATTATAGGCATGCACCACCATACCTGGCTTCTCCTGGTCTCCTGCATAATACGGGGTTACAAACTACTTGTAGCATTTACGCTAGAGAAGAAGATGTGAAGTGGACAAGACATAGATTATAAGCAAATGCTACACTCTTACATAGAGGACTGGAACATCCAGGATTTTGTTATCTTTGGATGATGGGGTTCAAAGAACCAACCTCTCGTGGACTCTGGGGCAAACCATAGTTGTTTATTTTGATTTTTTGAGACGAGGTTTCACTATATAGTCCAGGCTGATTCTGAACTCACTATATAGCCCAGGCTGGGCTTGAACTCACGGCAATCTTTCTGCCTCAGCTTCCTGAATGCTGGAGTTATACACGTGTACCACCACCTCTGGCTCAAAGGGGACTGCAAGAGTGACAGCAGCAAAAATCTGCTGCACTGTCACCTCACCCAGCACCCTACACGCAGGAAGGTGGGAGCTCCCACCTAACGACACTCATGAAGCGCCTACTATGTGCCAGTGGGGAGGAGCCAGAAGCGCCTGTCTTTGGGTGTCACGTTGGTTGCAGCTGCTCAGAGCCCCCGCGCACTGCCCTCCAAGCCTGCCCTTCCCAAGTGGCTGTGAGACCAGTGCAGAGTGTGTCCTTTTTTTCATTCCTGGCGAGGAGCGGCTGGGTCTGGCTTGGAGAAAGGCTCTGACTCACTGTGACGCAGGACACTCGGTCACAGCTGCTGGCAGCCCGACAGCTCCTCCAGGGCACAGGGGACAGAAGGGAACCCCTGCAGAGAGGACGGCAGCTCACAGGGGAGGGCATGACTCTGTATGTAGGCTGATACAGGAATGGGAGGGTGGATGAGGCTGAACAGGGGTCCCTCCAGGGCCACTGGGTGGCCATCTGGGGGTGTAGCTGGCTGGGGTGGCAGGGTGCTCCCAGCCATCCCTTGGGTGTCTCCAGACCCCCGGTGCTCACACAAATCAAGTCCATGCCAACCCAACCTCTCAGGGTATACGCTGGTCCTCAGAGAGGGGCGGAGGTTGGCCAAGGTCACACAGCACATCCCTGAGGGCTAGAACTCAGGCCTCTTGCCTGCCAGCCCAGCCCTGGCACCAGCCTGAGCCTGGGCCCTGCATGGCGGACGCTCCCTCCTTGCATCTCCACCTTCACCTTCTCAGTTCTTGGAGCTTGGCTGAGGCAGAGTTATGTCCAGACAGCTCCGAGAAGAAGGCTGTCCTCCGGGCCAGGCTGCCCGTGACCTTCCACTGCCTTTCCCCAGTGCCCCCTGGACTCAGGAAGGGAAAGCCCGCCATGCCTTTCCCTCCTGGCTTCCCATTCTCTCCTCACAGCTTGGGCGTCCAGGGCCCCCCACCTCCTGCAGGCTGCCCCATTTGCTCCTATTGGTTTGCAGTCGCTCAGTAGCTCTGCATGCCAGCCCTGGGCACTGGAGCGTGGAGAGGGACGCTGCCGGCTCTGTCGGAGAAAGATTAATCAGGTCCAGTGGAACCACCACAGGACGGGTCAGGCCAGTGCCTGCCAGGCTTTCTGGGGGCAAGGCGGGACCCCCTCCGAGAAGAGCACAAATGGCTGGAGGTATCAAAACTGACTGTGCTGGTGCTACGTCCTCGCCAGCTGAGTATGTGAGGAAGTCCTTCCGCCAAGGGCCATGGGGACAGCCTCAAGGCGACAGTGACCCTGAAAGTGCACTTCGAAGGCGGGGTGGGATGTTGACAGGTTTTCTGTGCATGAACGTCTGGAGGCTGGGACATGTCGGGCACCCAGGGCACTGGCATCTGGGGCACAGTGGACAGCAGCTGCCCTTCGCAGACCTCCAGCGCCCCCTAGGAGGCTAGAGGCTGACAAGCCTGACGGCGAGGTCCCGGGAAGCTCCTGCGCCCGGAATGATGTACGGCAAGCGCTCAATGTGTGTGGCCTCGAGTGCAAGGCAACAAGGCTCGCCCAAGGTCCCACGTCTGGGAAGCGGCCACAGCCAAGGCTGAGCCACGCAGCGCACACTCGCGGGGCCCTGACGGGTGCCAGGCGCTACCGGAAGGAGGCAGGCAGGGGGCTGCACGCTGGCGCTCCCGGTGCAGGTAGAGGAGGCTGACGCCGACCCAGTGATGACCCAGGTTCTCTAAGAACCCAGCCCCAAAGTGCTAGGGAGCTCTTAAGTCAGAGAAGAGACAGGGATATAGCTCAGTGGCGTAAGCACCTGCCTGGCAAGCACAAGGTCCTGAGTTTGATTCCTGGTTCAAAAAAAAAAAAAAAAAAAAGTCAGAGAAAAGCCCTGGGCACAGAGGGAACATCCGGGAGTGTCTGGGAAGGATGAGTGGGGCGTGGCCAAGCAGAAAGAGGGAGGGACTGCCGGACAGACAGCAGCTCAGCCTGGGGTGGGGGGTTTCACAGGAGGAGAGGGCTTGGACTCTGTCAAGGAGCAGCAGGCTGCCCGTCCCTTTCCTTTCTTTACAGGGTACTGCCATCTGTCACTCTGTATGTGCGTGGAGCTCCCTGTTTCCCTAGTAGGGCTCAGAGCTGGGGCTCTTCCCAGGAATCCTAAGAAAGGAGGCCACAGGCTGACCCCATCCCCAGGACAACCAGCTGGATGGGCCACGTAGGGTAGGGAGAGATAAGGGGAACCTCTGGTGTGCTCGAAGAGGCAGACAGCACAGGGAGCTTTAGGCCTAAGGCAGGAGACACTTGCTGTGCGAGGTCCTGGGACACTGGGAGAGGCCCTGCGGGGGACACTGAGGTCTTTGCCAGTGTGCC